AAACTAATTAAAATTCACTTTGTGATTGTAGCTACTGTAACCACGGTGAGTGGTTTGCATGCCACGGAACGTACAACGCATGTAACGTGACAGTGCGAATAGCGCGTCACTTGTCAGAGATGGCGGCAACACTGAAGCAGCAATTGTACCACTATATTAAATTACAATAAAAACATTTGTGTTTCCCCCACATTACTGACTTCAAAATAAAGGAGGAGGTTCTCATTTCGCCTGTTTTTTTTTGTATGTAAGTTACGCGATAACTTGATTTGTGATGATTCTTTTTTTGTTGAAAAGAGAGTACCTCAATTTTAGTCCCATTTATATTTGAATAAAATAATCCACTTTCCGGTAACCGATTCCAATGAAACTTGGCAAACAGATGTTTTACCATGAAATTTTAAGGTCGGTTCTTTTTTATAAAAAGTTACAATTCGGGAGCGTAGGTTCGTGTCCTACCAGCTTCGCTATGTATCGTTATGGAATTAAACACAAATGTATCCTCCTTTATTGGGAACACAAATATTTTTTATTGTAATTTAATATCAAGTGACGCGCTATTCTCACGGTCACGTTACATGCGTTGTACGTTCCGTGGCATGCAAACCACTCAACGTTGTTACAGCAACCACAGTCACAAAGTGAATTTTAATTCGTTTGTGGTGAGAGTACCGACCTAATACCTGAAGGAAGAGTTTTGGCCGAAGGGTGTCATATATCGGCGATTCCGCGGCCGGTTACCTGACACCAGGGCCCCAGGTCTGCTAATTTTAGATTACCTAAGTTGTGTGTCCATAGAGTGGCATGCAATCCACTCGACGTTGTTACAGTTGCGCTGTTGGTATTTATTTAAAATTTTTTCGCGGATGAAGAGTGGGAAACTTAAATGCATGACAAAAATATTCAACATAAGCGCTACTGTTGTGTTCGACCTTCACTGGGTACACAGAGTAGGAAATTAATTTACTTCCATTTTTATTGTATTTATAAATAGAGATAGATGTAGGTAACGGATTTTCAATGTTATGTGGAGTATCTAGTAATTCCAAGCATATTTAAAGCAAAGAATTGCAGCATGAATTGACAAATATGAATTAACAAAATGACACTTATCAAATGGATCTTAACAGAATCAATGACACTTTTTGATTAAATCAATCATAATATGATCAAATTCGTTATTAAACTTATTTGAAATCATTGTTGCTCGATGGGCGTAGAAATATTGTTTGATCCATTCAAAAAGCGTGATTGATTCCGTTAAGATCCATTGATTTGAGATACATACAACACTTACAATTGTAAGTACTTTCATCTTACTTTCTAACTTCAACACCCATTTGCCAGTTCGCTACAAACCAAGAAGTACATAAATATTATAATGTAATTGTCAACAGCAAATTATTGAAAGCATTATGAGAAGTAACAATGTAATCAATGTAGGTACACAATCCGTCATATAAAGGTACACAATAATTTTAAATAGTTGTAAAAGTATTGAATGACTTTAACCATTCTTGAACCCGTTTAGGGCGCTTTAAATTAGACGCTTATGCGCTGCTGCCGCGCCATTACTAATTTTCATACAATAATTGCATGCAGTTACTGCGATCAACTTCATGCAGTCGAGATCTCGGATAATGACTTCGCGCATTAACTGCAAACATGCAGTCCGTTAGAAGCCTTAGTGAATTAAAAAATACTGAAGCACTACAGACGCGCCACAGTCGCGCCATTGCAGCGCGTCTACTAAGCGTCTAGTCTGAAGGCGCTCTTAATGCCATGAATCAGAGTAAGCACGACTTTATATACACTCGGTATATGTCAAATTATTGTGTAAAGTGTCTTGTGGTGTAAAATGTTATGAAAAATGTACCTTCAAAATTATGTCGGTTCCTTTATTTATAATATTATTTATTCTTATTAACAATACTTTTAAAAAAACGGAGCAATTTTCAATTAGACAAAGTACTAGCGATCACATTCTAAGGCCATTCACTGGAGGAGAAGCGAGAAAAAATGTTTTGCTAGAACAAATGGTTTAAATAGTTACTATTAAAATTAAAATAACGGTCTCATAAAAATATACGACACACCTAAGGATACTGTCTAAAAAATGTGCTAATTCGTTACACAACGGGATATACTTTACCTCGTCAAATAAAATCCCGAAAAAAGGCGAAAATAAAAATCTAAAACAAATTATTTAAGAATAAAACATTTAACTTTGCACTTCATTTTTATGTGGAGATATTTCTATATAAACACTACTAAGAACCTGCTAAATTTTGGCTTTCAACTAAAGCCTTATAGTTATTAAGTTCCTATTTATCCCAAAACTTGAAAATTGTCCAGCGGTTTAACATGCCACGCCGCGCTGCCCCGTCGGGTCTGTGTCAAATTTTCTCCGCCATTTCTTATTTTACATCATGTAACCAGAAATAGAGACGAATGTCATTTAATTTGTTTGAAAACTATTTTTTTTTTTTACAACATCAAATGACGGGACGAGCAAGTCGTGCGCCTGATGGTCAGCTACACGGCTGTCCATAACAGTTGCGGTGCCACTCAGAGCTTAAAATCGCAAAGATCTGAGGGGGCACTGCCACTGCGCCCGTCAACTTGAGACATAAGTTGACAAGTCCCATGTGCCTGCAATTTCACCAGCACCCTTGCTCTTCAAAACCGGAACACAATAATGCTGACATTATTGCATGGCGGCAGAAATAGGTAAGGTGTGTACTGTGGGCACTGGATAAGGACGTCTCGGGTTCGATTCCTGACCAATTTGGAAAATATACTTTTCTATATTGGTCTGGATGTTGCGAATATTCTTTGGAATAAATTCCGTTACTTTGGTACCTGTAGCATACAGGGAAGATCCTACTTTGATACCAGGCAATTTGGTGTGGTTGTCCGGCACATTATTTATAATTATTATTCAATTCTATTTTATTGTGATTTTTTACTTTTTATTTTACACTCCGGAATTTCGGAGGGAGATATTATCGACTCTATGTGTATCGCTTGAAATTTTAGTTAAATATTCACACTGCCTTCTCCGATTTTCTGTAAAAGCAAAACAATTAACAATTTTGATTTAGACCACTATATTTTGAAAAGCCACGATATGTCTTTTTCGAAATGAACCACACGGTAGAACGTAACTTCAAAAAACCAAAATATTTCTCAAACGAAATTGCTCCGTCCTTACGAGAGAGTGGAAAGACAATAATGTTGAAAATAACATGGGATGATACTGACACGTCCACACACTAGCTACCGATCAAAGACTACTTCTGCATGGATTTGGATGGGATGGAAAAGGGTATAGCATGCCCCTATAGACTCTATACTTTTGATTTACATCGAAAGTAAGCCGGTTTTGTTAAGATTACCTACAGACATTTGCGACTCTAATTAAGTATTTTTTAAGATAGCGATTGTACTGCCGGGAAATTTACGTCAATTTTTAGTGTACTTACGTGATTTCCCGTACCCCTAAAAAATTCGGGACAAAAAATGTTGTCGTAAATTAGTCTGCACTTTCTGTCTCTGCTGTTCTTCGAAGTTAAGGTGAATACAGTACATTTAAGTATCTATTCCGATCACCGGTAATTACATGTACTTAGTACATTTTTGTACTTTGGGCGTTCGGCGCTTTCTCACTGTAGTTTGCTCGGTCTTAGAAGGATAATTATAGGATTCCTAATCAGATTACGATTCCTAGGGTCTTTATTGAAGCACGCGTAATGTAGCAGCTAAATTGTAAAAGCACTAAAATATTTAAACATTCTTGCTTTCTACATGTTGTCAGTTGCAAGCATTACCAGAGCACTAGATATAAAAGCAGCTTCCTTTCGATGCAAAGTACGATTTGTGACCACAAAATAACATCCCGCTACATTTAACACTGTAAGAACTTATAAGTGAATTCAGTAGAGAAGCTTAATTCAGATGACGTCTTGTAATAATTCGAAATAATAAATGAACTTACGATTATATTTCCATAAATATACATTGTGATATCTTGGCGTAAACATGACGGACAGGAGCTGACAAGTGGGTACACTACATTAAAACAACAAAATGCCTATTGACTTAGGAACTTACCACACTTGTCGGCGTGAAAATTGGCTTGAGCTGACTTTATTCTTTCTTATCGGGCCACCGATAGTACCTGGTGGTAGTTGGTCTCGAGTGATGATCAAATCAGGTAGGTAGTGGGGTTTTTGTCTCCACTAGGGACAGATGGTTATTTGTAGCATTTGTGACACGCAGGAAATTGTTACGGCTTATTGGGTGCATGAAAACAGCCTCCTCGCAGCGCTCACCGGAAACAGGAGGCACGGTAACGCTGTGTCTCATTACTAATCTATCCAATACGATGCTTCAACCGACTTACGGTCAACACACCTTTCCACAGCCTTCACTCCTTAAAGCCATAACCGTGGATCTACTGTCGTACTTGTTCCGACATCCGTCTAATTTCTGTCAAATACTTAATATTCATCATCATCATCATCATCAACAGCGTACCGCAATCCACTGCTGGACATAGGCCACTCCCAAAGCAAGCCATTTCGCCCGACCCTTAGCTCGTCGCACCTACTACACTAAGTCATATTCGACCATATCAAAAGACAATGACAAGTATGAAGCTTCTTTTGCATCATGAGAATTTTAATTTGAACGAGTAATTAATTATTTGTTTCAAGCTGAGACAGAGAGTAACTATTGAGTAATGGGTACAGGGCCAGTTTCCAGCCGGTTTAAAAAAGTCGTCTGGACCGAAGAGCAACGAATTTTTTGCTGAAAGCTTTTTCTGACCAGCTCAAGCCGATTCTACGTAGAGAAGTGTGATAACCCCCTTCTAAATAACAATAACGTCTATTATTTCGCTATTTTTCAAATATGCAAAAGTTGGACTATCTGAAAGTTCTATATACAAAGCCATCTACTGAATCCACCAAATCACAGAGTACAAAAAGCAGACATACCTTCTCCCCAGAGTCAGATGGTAGATAAAACACAAGTACAGTCAAGAACGTGAGTCCTACACACGGAATGATCAGGTTTACAGTGTAGAATAACGTTTTTCTACGCATTGTTAGTTTGAAAGTTATATCTGAAACAAAAATTTAAATAAGTAACTGTTCATCGCTAACAAATTAAAGGAATAATCAAGATATTAAACCAACAGTACGAGCACAACTTTATTATCTCCTTGCTTGCTTGGTGCTAATTATATAAATGTTAGTAATTTTAAACCGGCTCCAAAAAAAGAGGGTCTCAATTTGACTGTATTTTTTGTACGTATATTATACGCGATTACGCCGGCATTTGGGGACCGATTTTGATGATTCTTTTTTGTTAGAAAGAGGGTACTTCTGTATTGGTCCCAATTGGAAGGAAATATTCCACCTTTAAGGGAAACTAGGGGATGAATCAGGTTCGCGCACTTTCCGGTAACCGATCGCAATAAAACTTGGCAAATAGATGTAATTCCAATGTAAACTTTTGGGGTTAGTTTTTTCTATTAAAAAGTTATTTAGTTATTATTGATTATCACGATATCTTACTACCATGATGTTCAATTTTTTTGTGAAATTATTCCACTAATTTGTTTTAATTATTAATAAGATCGAACGGTAAGAAAATTGCTTCGAGGGACTGGATTCGAACCAGCGCCTTCAAGCGCACCGTGTCAAACGGTCTCCTAACTGAGCTACGGAAAGAACCACCAGACCTTACGAAGTTTTTTATGTCTTGTCGCAAATCTATTGGGCATTGCTCTGCATCCAACTTCTGGTGCAATATTGACATTCGAAGAAGAGTACTAAGCGTCTGATTTCCACATGGAACCAGCAATTATCGTAAAAAGACACTCTTGCGATAGGTATGTGTAATTTCTACAGCACAATCGAAAACGTTTCTTACAGATTTCTCCATAATACGTTTAGCTCGGTTTTTGAACGATTATTGTATCGTAGGTTGGAGGAATAGCGTTTCTGGGAGAAGATATATAGAGTTCTATTTGTCACCTGAAAAAGGCTCAGTACAACAAGGATAGTACTCTTCGTTTCTGGTAGCAGGCACTTCTAGAATATCCCACTCCACCGATAGGTAGAATTCGCTTAGGTCTATACCGACGTGAACTAAACTGCTCCCTGGGGACTGGTCCATGTGCTTTAAGTCCACCTGTAAGTTACAGAAATGGTCGTATGTTTTATGAGGTTACAAGTTTAGTACTTATTGCATTTTCACATTAAAGATCGACCCCACTTGATAGTGCTAAGCATGCTGATGGTAAATGAAGTCGGCCCTTAACTTATAATACCACTACAGCTTTACAATAAACTTATTAATATACCGTACATATATACGATAATTGTACCGTCCCCCGTTACAATACACCCGATGTTTTCCCGCGAGTATAGACTCAACTAAAAATAAATTCAAATGATAAACAGGAGCATGTCCGCTATTTTAGCGATTGTACTGCAAAAAAATTACTTTAATCATGTTTGTCTATCAAGGCACTTAATAGAATTTTTTTTAACAATATACGATCTCGATACCTCTACACAAGATGTTCCAGCAATTTAAATTACCTACTATTTTGTACAGCGTGCAATAAAGAAAATAAAGACATACTATACGCAATGCGTTTAAGTATCTTATAACCGTTTTATGTTGCGATATACATTCCTTTAACTGTTTAAACAACTATAGGTTTAAACATTCGTTTATAAAGCTACAGGAAAAGAAATATTTTTTTTTATAAAATTCTTTCTTTATAATTATTAATACAAAGATCGAACACTCAGCAAAAATTCATTCGATCCTCTAGGTCTTCTAGCAAACCGTGGCAGACGCTATGCCAACTAAGCCACAGAACGAACCAGCGGACCTCACGAATTTTCCTATGAGCTTGTTATCGTGTCTTTCTATATGGTTTTTTCAACGGCTTTTTAGCCTTTTTTCTTTTTTGAAATATTTTTTTTACACTCTCAAATCCCTGCACTAGGGAAACCCTATATCGCGGTTAACATGGACACACACATAGGTAGACAACCATAAATTAAACCCAAACTAATGAGAGAAACAAATACAAGCCACACAAATATTTCTCCCGGCCCGAGAATCGACTTTACTCTTTTTACTTACACCTTATTTGTACATTTTTGAAATAAAGAAATATTAAGTATTAAAACACGTTTTTTTAAAGGTCAGTGTTCATTATAATAAGCTTATGTAATGAGAGATACATACCTGAGCTCCGTTATAAGTCCAAGAACCGAACTTCATAAAACAAGTTTGTTCATCGAAGGGAAAATATTCAACGTTAATCTCACACGAAGACTTGTATATTGCAGGCGGTTTCCAGTTCACCTCGCCAGTGTACTTGAGAGTAGCTTTCGTCATTAGGGTCACCTGAAAAAAATGACGTAAAAAGTTTAAATTTGAGCAAAATATAAAATGTAAAATACAACATAAGTTAAAAACAAGTTTTGTTTATAGTCAACCTCCTAACCCTATCAACCTCTTGCTTATGTGGGAAGGGCACTATGATCTGTGCGAGCGAACCCGCACAGGGACCATCTAAGATCAGCCCGTTTGCACGGACTTCACGCGATTCTCTGTAAGTCTCCGTACGTGAGCCGCCCCGGGAGCACGTAGGTACAGCACGATCCTATTTTCCAAATTAGTACCAAAGTAGTAGGACGCTCACTTCCCGTCGTGCTCTGCTCGACTACCGGTTGCCACCGCTAAGCAGCCGAAAGGGAAGTACTGTCACCTTATCTATTTCTGTCGTCAAGCAGTTTTGAAGGGAATGGGTGCTGGTGAAATTACAAGGACATGAGACTTGTCAACTTGCCCCTCAGATCTGTGTGATTTAAAGCTCTGAGCGGTACTGCAACTGTTATGGACAGGCGTGTCGCTTACCATCAGGTGCACAACTTGTTCGTCCCGTCACTTGGTATAATAACAAAAAATCTTATTGATGCAATAGATGCACAGATAGAAACAACCTGTATGATCCGAACGGTCATTACCACGGATTTTTGTCATCCAAATGCTATGAGTACGTGCGTTATTTATTTCTTTATGTACAATATGCAGCAATTTCTTTTTCATCACACTTGCTCGTAAATAGAGTATACTTGCATTGTGGCTAACTTGTCTATAATGCCCCAAATAAGAACCTCGGGTCACTTTTCTTCTCATTACAGCCATGGTCGGTAAGGAGTATTTTTACATAGGTCAGGTTCAAGCAAGGAGGCCTAAGTTCAAAATTAAAACATTCGCTTAAAATGTTATCTAAACAAAAATTTTATTGCAATTCAGCCACATACTACTAATTTATTATTAAGAAGTTCTTATAATTGATTTTAATTATTTTCTGTATAAAAATTTCAGCGATTTTTTTTACAATTCATCATGGCTGTATTTGCTGTCTTTGCTTTTTACAACATTTTAGTTCGAATTGTATTATCTATGGAAGAATTGCTAGTTGATCATCAGTTAATATAAAAAAAAAATATCCGCCATTTGCAAAAGCCGTAATTGTTGTGTTGTGAACCATATGGTTTTATTTCTTGTATGAATAACCATATTTATTCATACAAGAAATAAAGGATGTATTTATTATAATCATTAATACAAAGATGGAACACTCAGAAAAAATTCCTTCGATCCGGCCAACGTTTTCTAGCATACCGTGCCAGACGCTATACCAACTAAGCCACGGAACAAACCAACGGATCTCACGAATTTTTCTATGTGGTTGTTGTCGTATCTTTGTATTTGGTTTTTCAACGACTTCTTAGCCGTAGCGCCATCTTATAGAAACATTATATTTATTTCCTCGCAATTAAGATGAAAAACATTGTATGTATCACGGACGGTAAAAAAATACAAAACTAGAGCTATTAAAAGTAAGTCCTAATAGACAAAATACTATTGCAAAAACATTTCAGGATAGGGTGGTTTGCATATTAGACGTAAACCAATAAAGAACCCAAAGGATTTAAAGAAAAATTTTTTACCTCATAATTTCCGTCCCAGTTGTTGTACAGTACAATGTCTGGCAACCAGATGTGTTCAGACGGAACATACAGCATCTCCACACCGCCATATTCCTCAGGGTTCCACGTAAGTTTGTAGTCGTACCATTTCTGAAATTATTAGAGACGAAAATTAAATGCAATGTAAAAGGTCTCCAAACTAAATAGGCCCTTGCCATGTTTAGGAATTACCGCGGGTAAACGGGTATCCACTAGAGACTCATAATTCAAGAAGTCGATAATAAGTAGTGTAAGTTGAATGTACAAATACAAAAGATTAGACAAATACATCACGAGAAATTAACATGAACGAATAACAAATAAAACCAGATTTGTAAAAAATGTCTTAATACAAGGTATAAATATAAAAATATATAAATAATGAATTATAATGCATCTGACTTAGCAATTCAAGGAAAAACTAAAAACTTTTTTCAACTCACATTTTTCATAAAATCTACAAAAAGGATTCAACTATAAATGAAGGTTTATTTTATTATAAGATCATTATGATAAGTAGTTTTTAACCGACTTCAAAAAAGGAGGAGGTTGAGTTCGACTGCATGTTTTTTTTGTGTGTATGTTACGTGATAACTCATTTGTGAACCGATTTTGATGATTCTCTTTTTTTTTCAAAGAGGGTACCTCAGATGTAGTCCCAAAATATTCCACCTCTAAGGGTGGTAAGGGATGAATGACTTTTGAGGTCGATTTTTAGTACTGACTGCTCTGTACTGTTTTTGTATTATTACGTATACCATTTTCGGATTAAAGTGTCTTATATTTGTTTTTTCAAAAAAAACCAACATTTCGGGTATTTTCATGGTAGCCGTTCGGCCACGGAGGTCACTGCCATGCAGAGATCCCAGGTTCGATTGCCGGGCAGGGAGATATATTTGTATGGCCTACATTTATTTCTCTCGTGAGTTTGGGTGTAATTTGTGGTTGTCTATGTGTGTGTCCATGGCACCCGCAACACAGGGTTTCCCTTCCTATATCTATGGTTGCCCTAATGCGGGGCTATGTTGAGTGTGTGCGTTATTATTATTATTACTATTTGACCGGTTTCATGAGTGACCATGAGAGGCTGTGAAGCTGACTCAGATGGCAAAGGCATCACCCAGTCTATAATAGTACTTATAAAATAATTTAAAATATTTTTTTACGATATCAAGAAACGGTACAAACAAGTCGTGCTTTTGGTTGTAAGCAACACGTCTGCCCATAGCAGTTGCAATGTCACTCAGAGCTTCATATCATTTATCTACACACACATAAACTCTCTACAATGTGTTCAAAAACCGCAAATTACGACCAGCAAAAATTAAAAATTAAAATTAAAAATTTCTTATCTGTGAAAATGTTATATTGCTTCATAGTAACATCGAATTCAATGTTATTATTACATGGAATTCGCTCTGGACCTTTTGGAGGGAAAAGTGTCGTTTTTATTTTGACTCTCAATTACTTTGTGAAATCTAGTTTAAAGTGGAATAGGATAGTGCTATTGTGCCTTAATCCAAGATTAAAACGCGAAATTATACGAATCTCGAACTAAAATACCCGTATCGGCCCGTTTTAATCCAAGCACGCCGCCTCAAATTGCCTATCCTCTTTGTGGCGGCCATATGTAGAAACATATTTAAACTTCATGTTTAGGCTGATGGCTTTGCCAAAGCCTTAATAAAAAAAATCAAAAAAAATTATTATTACATTCAAATTTCAAACATCTCTGAAAAACAAAGCAATTTAGTTGGACCTCAATTCTAATATCAGTCGAGATGAAATTTTATTCGAAATGAAATGTCAATAGGAAAAAATTTTGACAATTTCACACGTCACTTGATTTCTTTTATTTTTTTCCATCCTCTAAGCACTTGATATCGAACGATATGACAGTTGGGATCGATTCTAGTTTGTCTATGAATTAAAAATAAAAACTACGGTTGAGTGACATGTAAACGTAGTGCTTAAATTCTCTTTGGTGACATGCGTGATAAAAAATTTTATTTGCCGCCATTTCGCCAGTCGTAACATGCGGTTCCTGAACACATCACAGAGAGCTTATAATATGTGACTGTTAGATAATTAGGCATTAAAACATTCGTGAGATGTTTTTATACTCGCCTGTCGGCTCGTTTCATAAACCCTCATTCGTATTATAATGCCTTTCATTATGTAACCTTAGAATAATAACGCATAGAATGATAGTTTCATATCAAACGAACTGTCACAAGTGAGGCAAAAATCAAATTCATGTAGGCTAGTTTTAGTAGCAGGTTAATTTTCGGTTTTAGTGAATATTTATATAAAAATACAAGTTGAAACGCGTTACTTCCTTGTGGAATGTGATGTTAGTATCTATTTTATGTTTGTCTGACGCATTTTTACACTCATTTACCGCATATTTCGTCATTTTAGCTAAAATTCTTGATCTGTTCGCGATGCAAGTTGACCTTGAGCACTGAAGGCCCGCCCGCTAGTAGGCCCTTTGGGCGCGCTTCAATTTGCCTCACTTAGCGTGTGCGGACTAGGTTTCTATGCGTTATTATTCTAAGTATGTAACAGTCACATAAAGTACAATATTCTTTGCTTTTTTTTATAATAGAATACAAATATTCGTGCATGTAATAAAAGACCTAAATCGTGCTATTCGAAAAAATAGTTTCACTTCAATGTGTAACAATCACGAAAACTTAAAAACTCGACGTACCTGTTCTACCCATAAATTTGTGGTCATAACTTGGTTCTTTAAATTAACTTCCATCAGCTGGGACAGTTTTAAGCCAAGTCTCACGGTTAAGATATCGCTCACGTTTGTGACTGGCCGTATAAGGCGGTTGTAGTTACTGAGTAAATCATCGTATAGACGCTTTACGTCTGGATTTGCTTCGAGCAGTTTCACACCTGAAAATCGATAATAGAAAAGCTACATAAGAAATTACGTTATTTGGAAATAATTAATATTAGATATTCCAGCAGTAGATGTGTGTAAGCTGATGATGATGAAATACGAAAAATTATAGAAGGAACTTTTCAATCTAAAAGCGGTCACTAATAATGTTAAAAATATTTTAATGAAAAATCAGTATTATGCCATTATTGGTAGTATTTTGTGTAGGTAAATCTTTTTTAATTAAATATTCTAAGTATCATGCTATAAGCTAATGTACAACTAATTTAAGGGTCGTATTCCAGAACTCTACTCAATACTCAAGTCAGGACTTGAGTATTGCAGTGAGCACTGAAAATCATACTCAAGTCCTTGCCCTTGGGGTCGTATTTCCAGTGCTTGAAATCATACTCAAGTCTGCTCAAATCCTGACTTGAGCACTGAGTAGAGTTCTGGAATACGACCCTAAGAGTTGGAAGGGGAGTGCAACCAAAGTATATCTTCTTGTGGAAGTTCGTCCAACAAATACATTACACGTTGAATACTAATAATTTATATACACATTGATAATAATATGTGATAATAAATTTTACTCATAATTATAATAAACATAGGAATAAATGAAGGGATTGGATAGAAAAAACGTGACTAAGGAGTTAAATGTTCCTTAACACGTCGTTTGAAGGAATTGAGATAAGGTTTTTGGTACCTTTCATAAAACCTACTAAGAAGTATGTACCTCACAATCGGAAATAACTAAAGTGTCAAAGGGTGCTAGAACAGTAGAAGCAGCAGGTAACTAAAAATAAGATGTTTGAAGATAGTCCATAGGTCAGTGAGTACACATCCCAGTACAGGCATACCATCTGGTCCGGATGTATGGTATCATTTTCACGCAAACAAAAATCTACTATCGGTAATTTTACAATTACTAAAAAGATATGCACACGTACAGTCACATATTTTACACACACATACTGACATGCTATAGTATATTTGAACTTAGTTAAAAATGTGTCCTAGTTTCAAGAATACTATAATTTTGATAACGGACAATATTAAATAACTATTACTTACCCAAACAACTTCTAGCGAAGTTCAAAAAGATCCACAAAATTCCAATTTTCATTTCGGTACCTATTTTAACACTATGTACGTAAAATAGTTCACTGAATCATGTTTACAAAGTTAAGAGGCTGCATGATTCGAGATGAAAGCCTTTACGCATGCGTAATCAATAGACTACGGATGCTCTGCGAAAACGCTACGCCCGGCGCCCGCCTGTACAATATTTGCAAAAGTGCTACGTGCTACGGCTACGAGCGAATGGAGCGCTGTGATGGATAAACGTGGAACTTAAATGTCACAAAATAGTACTTCAAGGGTTGGCTAGATGGCGTAGTTCAGTATTAGATAGGATTTTCGTTGTATTTTCTCCTTTTTCCTAACATCAAACAATCTAATTCACTTCATAATTCATGGAATAACTAATAATTCATTCGTTAAAACAACAAATGACATAATTTTAATCGAAATAGCGCTCGACAAATATAATTAGTGTATGGTATAAAGACATGACATATTGTTGCATGATACAAAGCATCATTGGATATAATAAACTACTGATATAACAACTTTACAATTTAATATACCGATGGTATAATGTATTATAAAAAATAATCCCAGTGTCAACTTTAGGTGCAACAACGAGCGCGGCGAGGAGGAGTATCTGATATTGTAATACTGTGATATTAGGCTCAAAAGCGCATTAAAATTAACCTTACAGAATCGATACTTCCCATAGGTTAGGTGCGATTTATTCAAGACATTATATACCATACACTATATACCTACTGGTAATATATACCATTAGCTCATTATGATATATATCATTATTTAGATTTATTATACACAACGAAATTATACCTTTCGTTATTGTACCACTTATTATAGTTGATTAATATGAGTGATTACATCCTTTGAAATTATGTCAACTATTGTTATACCAAGTGAAAAAAGAACCATTTGTTTTTTATAGATCATATACGGCCTTATTTCACGTCAATACATTAAAGTCTGACAACCATGTGAGATAATAATTGTAACTTTTTATACAAAAAAAAACAGACTTCAAATGTTCGTGCAATTACATCTATTTGTCAGGTTTTATTGAAATCGGTTGCCGGAAAGTGTGCTAAGTCGGATTAATTCCCTAGTTTGCCACCTTTAGAGGTGAAATACTTTCTTCAAATTTAATGGGACGAATACTGAGGCACCCTCTTTCCAACAATAAAGGAACCATCAAAATCGGTTCACAAATGCCCGGAGTTATCACGTACATAACATACATACAAAAAAAATAATAAACACAGTCGAATTGAGAACCTCGTGCTTTTTTTGAAGACGGTTAGCAAAATAAACACCATAAATTTAGTTAAAAAGTTTAATAAAATTGATTACTTTAAAACTAATGAATGAAAAAAATCTTACAACATAATTAGTATTAGAAACCAAGTACGTCAATCGTATTTTGATCCCGTGCGGCACTGATGATGGTAACATAAATTTGACAAAAATCATTAAAAAATTTATTATTTACATCAGAACATAACGTTTAGTAACTGTCGAACCTTCTGAAGGAGTTCGTCTAGAGAATGACTACCACCATACCAATTTCTGCCGCCAAACGCTAAGAGTTCTGATTAAATTACAGGCACATGGGACTTGTCAAGTTTAATGTATCACGGTGGCGAGTAATAAAATATAGTACAAACAATATTGAATCGGAATTATCGTAAACATTTGTGCTAAAGGGTAAGTTAGAAGGATAAAATAGCACTTGTAGAATATATGTACTTGATTCCCAATAATTACGTGTAAGAATCAATCTTCTTTTATATCCCGCCTTTAATGGGTTGACACAAAAAGTTTTACAACCCTATGAATAAGACCTATAGTTCATTTTCGTATACTCTCTTTTACTCTAATACAAAGGAAATTGTATACAAGGTTTTGTAAAAATAATATGAACACATAGAAGTGTGAAATCAGAATTTAAAATTGGTTAAAAACAATTGTTATAATCGTTCAGAAGACGGGAGAAAAAAGCGCAATACTTGTTGCTTAATGTCACCAAATAATGGCGCCATAAAAATGAGGAAATCAAAATGTAAAATTTTTGAGAAACTGAGGAAATACGTTCAAAATAAAACTAATATATCTTTTATCATATGAAATAGTTGTTTTTTTTTTCGCGGCCTAAAACTGCTACTAGATTGACTGCATGTTTGCAGTTAATGCGTGAAGAAGTACGACTTCATGAAGTTGATAACAATTCCACGCATTAACTGCATGTAGTAAATAGTAAAGTAAGTAAGTAAAGTAATCACGGCTGCGTGAAGTCGGTTTGAACTGCATGCAGTCGATCTGGGCTCCATGAAGTCAGTTTGAACTGTCGTCGTCAAAAGTCGTTATCAACTTCACGCAGCCGAGATCGACTGCATGCATTTAATGCGTGAAGTTGATTACGATTTCACGCATTAACTGTAAACATGCAGTCAATTCTACAGCCGAAAGGTTTCGCAATTGGTATATATTGGAAATGAAACTTTTTCGGATCTAAATTACTTAATTGCATTAACATTAAACGTAACTGGTTGAAGGCTTTACAGTAAAGAGGTCGAAATATTGGTTTGTTTGAAAAAAAAAACAAATGCACGCAATTTAAATCCAGATAAAAATAGTTACATTTGTAAATATAATTTTGTGATCATTTTTAATCTATTTATTTTATTACTAAGATTATTACATTTATAATAATTTTGTAAAATAAAAGGTACAGAAAGTATCCGAACTATTGACTATAGCCATTAATATCACTAATATTTGTTATTATATAAAACCAACTTCTGATTCTGCATGTTCATGTGAATTGATTGAAAATATTTAAAAATATTGTAATATAAATAACCCTGTTCTAGAAGTAAAATCTCCATAAACCATCTTTAATACCCGTTCATTATTCACTTTTTTTTTCAAAGCTAAATCAATTCCAATCACAAAGAACAAACATTGTTTTTAGCCATAAACACCCTGTAAATTTCGAAACACGCCGTATAGCGACTAATCATCTAGGTGTCGACGTATTTTTCGTATAAACCCCGCCTTATAAAGGCGGATTACAACCAAAATTATACCAATTATTATTCATTATACCATGTAAACTTAACACATTTTCAAAATCATAATATCTTTATTTGGTAGTAAACAAATTACTCATTGGGAACATTCCTGTGAGACGAATCAGTCCCTTCTGGAAACCGTCTATGGGTTAATACGTGTAAATAGATTATTTTATTTAAAATCTGTAAGCACCTTCAAAGTGGCGCTGCAACTGCGCTTCTAAATATTGTATAAAAAAAATAAGTTGTTGCGCAGCTACTGTTGGATAATTTTCCGAAAAATACCTACCTATACCACCACCTACCTGCTATAGAAAACCGAGATACAATATGATTTCACAACAGCGAAAAAACCTTAATGCTCTGGCCACACAGAGGAGGGCCGCGGAAGAGTTCCGGGCGCGGGAATTTTTGTAATGCACAAATTCTTATGAACCCTGGCACACTGAAACGCGAGGTGGCCGCGCGTCAGTCACGCGTTTCAGTCTGGCAGAGTTCATGGAAATTCGTACATTACAAAAATTCCCGCGCCCGGAACTCTTCCGCGGCCCTCCTCTGTGTGGCCTGAGCATTATATTGACTCCATCGTTTTCGTTCAATAACTTCAACTTTTGACAGGTGTCAATGTCAATGTGAAAAATTAAAAGAAGAATATTGGAAAAATCCCCAGAAAATTTTGGGAAAATGATTTATTTTTCTGAAAAACATGGTTTTTTCAAAATGGAAATTTTTCCATGACCCAACACTAGGCGCAGCTACAGTGCCACTTCTATAAGCGTCTAGTTTAAAGGCTTCCTAATAGTTTATTGGTAGAAACAATTAAACGGATCACACCCATGGACGCCATCCACCGACGCAGAAGTTGTACAGTAACCTTATTTAACAAAGTTTTTGTTTCATTACAGTTTAAAGTAAGTAACAAATTTTGAATAACAACAAAAAACTTACTTTTAGATACGTATACATAACTTATATAAATTTGCGACTTTGTGAAGTCGATGATCGAGAAATTTATTGTTCTTCTTGGGTATAAATATTAAATATATCACTATTTTCCATCAAAAAAGTACTATTCTTCTTAATATATTTTCATTTAGAATAATAACGCATAGAAACCTAGCCCGCACACGCTAAGTGAGGCAAATTGAAGCGCTCCCAAAGGGCCTACACGAGCGGGCGAGCCTTCAGTGCTCAAGGTCAACTTGCACCGCGAACAGCTCCAGAATTTTAGCTAAAAATGATGAAATGTGCGGTAAATGAGTGTAAAAATACATCAGACAAACATAAAATATATACTAACATCACATTCCACAAGGAAGTAACGCGTTTCAACTTGTATTTTTATATAAATATTCACTACACCGAAAATTAACTTCTACTAAAACTAGCCTACATGAATTTGATTTTTGCCTCACTTGTGACAGTTCGTTTGATATGAAACTATCATTCTATGCGTTATTATTCTAAGTATTTTCATAAATATACTCTGACGCCAGTGTAAGATTGTGAATTTTTGTAAAAATATATCTTAGAGACATGCAGTGACCCAGTTTGTAAACTACCCTTACGAGACACTTCTCAACGACAGAAATTCTAATAATATTAACGATATTTCTCCAAAGCAAAATGGCGTAGGTTATGACTGTGAAATTTGCTGAAATAAACCGGTCTAGAAATGTTTAATAACTATGACATTTGATATAACGGGGCACCAACGTTTAAACCTCGCACAATAACTTGACAAAGTTAAACGAAGGGTCGTATTTATTTATGGAACATCAAGTTCTGAATACTGGTTCCAGTTAGGACCCAAATTTAATGGAATAAATACAATTTTGAAAGAAAGATCGTTATTTCTAGGAGAAATATACCCAGCCAGATAAGTTAACCGAACTAACACGTGAAGACGTGCGGTACAATTTTTTTACGATGGATTTGAACAGCCATAAATAATGGTTTTCGGGAAACTCACAAGTCGGTAGTGTATTCCACTCATTAGGAATGAGATGAATCAAGCTAATAGGGTCGTATTCAATGTCATAATTATGGATGGAGTTTCGTATGTGAAATAAATTACCTGCTAGCATTCGTGACTTTTTAAATTAAAAGAGCACTTCCTATTAAACTAGATAGTTGTTAAACAGTAACATAAATATAAACTAATAATTTGTTTAGATTATAATACATATTGTGTTTGTATGTATTTATATATATCAAGTTTATATAGATGTTATATCTCAGTCATATTTATATAATCATCATTGATAATTTTATATTTACATTTATATTATGTTCCGCAGACTTACTTTATTAACCACGGTTAGGGTTGGCTGGAAGAGATCTCTTCTAGAGATAAGCTCACCTTTGCATAAGTCCTTTGTAATATGTAATTTTAATGTCATTTATTTGCACAATAAACAATTATTATTTATTTACAGGTCCATCGGACCTATATTATTTCAATACAATTATATGTAAATTAAAATATCTGACATCGGTTTTGATAAGTTTGATAAGATTTTGGGCCTGGTAATCTATAAGATAAAAATATAGTGTGCTCACCAAGAACGAGTAAATGGCGTACATATCTCAATCAGATCGGGGATGTCCTTAAAAAAGGCCATATTATCAAAAATAAACAAGCATGTACAAAGAAACTGATGGGAGTGGAGGAGGCGAAGGTTTGTCAGGAGCGTAGAAGGTGGAAGTTCATAGACTCTACCTACCTCGATGGAAGACAGGTGTGACGACATGTATGTACAAAGGACGAATAAATCATCCTCGCAGTAAGGGACATATTTGTCCCGCAAAATCTGATCTTGAGAGACAAAGCAAGTCATACGAAAGATATAAATTTTGAAAACGTTAAACGCAGAAATGTGCACTCTAATATTAAAGGCGTAAAAGATGCCCTGACGACGATGGCACAAAGACATTACCAGCTTACCATTTCGCTTATAGAACTAGTAAATGCCACTCATCGACAGAGAGGCATACTTTTAAAATGCTAACGACGTCACGAGACTCAGCGAGTTACAGTCAATTCGCCCAAAGCAAAACTTTTCGCCCACGACAAAGAAAAACAAAAGGCGGTACATGAGGTCATAGAGGTATTAATTACCTCTTGCTTTTATTCTTGTCTTGATTACGGCGATTTCTTTCTCTTTTCCTCTTCTGATTGTTCCTTTGGCGGTTTGTTGGTTCTTGTCCAGGGAAGATTTCTAACGCTCTTCTTTGCTCTTCTAACTCTTTAAGATCTGAGAATGATTTTAGACATGTGACGTTATCTATTTCATGCGTATTCCAAAAATTGTGTTGCACTTATAAAGTATGTAGAACCGATTAATAAATAATAAATGGAACAAAACTTTCTTTTGCAGTAAAAAGCTCACCTTTGCTTGTTGGAAATGCCTTAGGCAGCGGCCACAGACTGAACGGGTAGAAATATGCGATGGGTATCTTCTTCACTATTATAGAATTCTCTGCCTCGTGCACAACGTCCCTAATTTTTGTTTCTGAAACAATTGAAATATGCTTTTTTTCGAGTACTGTAAGAAAATCACTAATGAAGAATAACATGGACGAAGTTCCCCCGCATACCGCTAGATGGCATTGATTTATTTTTTGTTGATTTTGTTAGTATTCTCCCTAGAGGAATAACTACCATAAAAGACACTAACATAAGAAAGTGCGTATATACTACTGTTTCTTTATGTGGAACAGTGCTTTAGATTACTACCAGTACTACAAGTACTATCTGTAAACTAAATAAGGTATTCCGTAAGCAAAGCATTGGTATTAGTTGTTAAAATTCAGAGCAGCATCCCACTTGGAGCATGCGTATGGGACTTCTGGGAATTATGTGATATCTAGAAGAAGAAGTTAATGCAGAGTCTGCGACCTGTATAGTTTGTGTACATGGCTTTCTGTATACAATGAGAGATGAGTTGTGTAAGCTTTTTTAAGGGCCTAAACAACTGAAATATCATGCACAATCCCTTCGAAGCGTCGAATTAGTTACGCCTTTCCAGCTACCGTAAACTTTAAGCAATCTTTTTTTTATATAGAACTCGACGATTCTTTCTCTAGGCTACCACCGCTTCTTATTTTATTATTGAAAAGTAAAATTGTCTGCCCAAATAATTAAAATTGCATGCCTACAGGCATTTCTTTTTACTTAAAATTAATTTAAAAAAATTAATCTAAATTTCTTTTTTTTACTTTACTATAAAAGTCTCCAGTTGATGAATTTTTTATACTAATTTATTTTCAAAAACCACATAGTACTCAATACATACTTTGGTGAATGTGACTCTAGACCATAGATGCTCGTAGACTAAATACAAATTTATTTAGTAAAAGTAAAATTGTCAAGTGACGACCCCTTCGGTACAATTCTACTTTCCCGATGGATCGGTCCACTTTCACATTCAACAGCAGGCGGGGAATTCCGCTCCATAGCCGTTCGGCATATAAATGTGAAAGCGAAACGCTTCTGGTGAATCCCTGGAATATTCACAACACAAAGGTCGAACTCTAACCTATGTACAAAAGCTTAATATTTAGCAATATTTCTGGACACATGTTATAAACAATATAGACTAGTAAAGTCCACTTTAGAATACCCGATAAAGTTTTAAGTATAATAGAAATATTTATTGGCTTCTAAACTAGGTGTCATAAAAAACAATGAACTTGTGTATAGGTACACAAAACATGTACTGCATTGCCAGAGGTCATGACCCATACCCACAATAAAAACTTCAAGACTATAAATTGTAAACTGCACTCACAATCGGTACCTATAAATCTCAGTAGAATTCCAACTGATGAACAAGGAAGCGTAGCACCCTACCTATACTGAAACTAGGAAGTCACAATGCCGGCTGTTGTTGAAAAATTGTCAATTACACTTGTGCGAATGATATTATGAATTGTTCTTCCCTGATTGTATTGGATCTTTCCGTATCATTACGGGAGGTCAGAAGATTGAAAACATTTCCATGGTTCGTAAAAACGTTTATTGGTGAATAATGTTCAATAAACAAATCGTCTCGGGACTATAAGAAGTTATAGTGGACCAAACTCATTGGTTGAATAAGTTTATATTATATAATTAAATAAATTCTTAACTGCCGCAACTAGAAAATTGTAAATTTGTACCAGTTGTCTCCAGTTTGGCAACTCCGTTTCCGTAACTGGCAACCGCAACCCGTGAAGCAACTTCACTCCTTCCCCGTCGATTTCGAAAGTTTATTCAAAATTACAGCAACCGGTAACTAGGCCTGTTGCTACAACCGTTAATGGAAACTTGTAAAATGTTACCAGTTGCGTCAACTAAAGTTGCTCCATCTGCGGAGCGCCAACTGGAGACAACCGGTACAAATTTGCAAGTTTCTAGTTGCGGCCATTAAGAATTTATTTAATCACGAATTTCGGTAATCGAAAGCTGTAGTCGATTGCCGAAACTCTCAACTGAAGTTGCCATGTCTGCGTGGTTTCTTGAAATTATATGAAAAACGTCATAAACAGCTAGTTGCGGGTTGTCAGTTGTTAAAACTCGATGATCAAAGTTGCTCCATCTGCGCAGCGCCTAAGTCGCCAAATCAAATCCGCGTACTTTTCTTAGCAACCAAATTGTGTCTACGGGAATCTATTGTTATCAGTCCGTAGACAACATAAATTAATGCTTACTGTGCAAAAACGAAAGTCATCATTGAAATAACAAAGTAATAACGTTAAATATGTGAAATTTGGTCTGGTGCAGATACGCACCTTTGACCATTACTACATACGCGGGTTTGCACTATCTCCGACGATATCTGAAATATTCAACTCTCCTATTTAAGCATAAACATGTTATCGAGCAGGCAATTTCATTCGTAGAATCTATAAACCTCTTTCCGGAAAAGTTGTCATCTTCCAGATGTAGCTAATTACACCAAATGTGCGAAATATAAACCAATATCATAACACACATAATCTGTAACCTGAAATAAAAAAAAGAAACACTCCTAATCGAGCAAATCCGTACGAATAAAAATCTTCTCTAACCGACTTCAAAAAAAAGGAGGAGGTTATATGTTCGGCTGTATGTATGTTTTATATGTTTTCAGATTTCTCCGTCAATTGTAGACCGATTTAGAAAATTCTTTTTTGTTTGAATGGGTGCTCTCTCGTGGTAGTCCCATTGTCACCAAGTTAGAATCAGATGATCCTTGGAAATCGAGAAAATTCTCAAATTTTATAGACATGTTTATTGACATACCGATTTCTCCATGAAATGTGGACTGATTTTGAAAATTATTCGGCTATCACAAATTAAAAAAATATTTTCCACAAATAAAAGTCTTTTTTTTTTAAGTACAGTTGTAACGGCTTTGGCATAATGCCATACAGCCTATTCTTCATTTTCTTTTCTTCATTTTGGTTTCACTTTGTAAATTATGTTTCTGTAAATATGGCCGCCACAAAGAGGATAGGCAATTTGAGGCGGCGTGCTTGGATTGACTCGGGATTCCTTAGAACGGGCCGATACGGGTATTTTACTTCGAGATTCGTATAATTTCGCGTTTTAATCTTCGATTAAGGCACAATAGCACTATCCTATTCCACTTTAAACTAGATTTCACAGAATAATTGAAAGTCAAAATAAAAACGACACTTTTCCCTCCAAAAGGTCCAGAGCGAATCCAAATAAAAGTCGACTTTTCACTTGACACAATACATGTAATCAACAAATCACCGTCACTGTCACATCCAGAAAAAAAGTATAAAATGTGCAAAGGAGACCGTAATAGTCACTAAGACTTCAGAATCTGATGAGGGGATCCCATGGAAATAGGAAAAACTCGATAAGCAAACTTTAGAGGTCGGTTTCTTATTAACCGACTTCAAAAAAGGAGGAGGTTCTCAATTCGACTGTGTTCTTTTTTTTTGTATGTATGTTACGCGATACTTCCGGTATTTATGAACCGATTTTCATGATTCTGTTTTTGTTGGAAAGGAGGTACTTCCATAGTGGTCCCATTTCATTTTGAAGAAAATCGTCCACCTCGAAGGGTGACTGTTCACGCATGAAGATTCATTTTCATAAACAGCGCCTAACATTAAATTAGGAGCAATTACTTTAATGGTTGATTTTGCTATTTCTCGAATTCAAGGCGGTTTTTCTCTCAATATACTTTGAGTAGTGAGAACCGATTTTTATTATCTCCAGTGTCAAGTCCTCTATAGTGGCGAACTAACATAGCAAATAGACGTAATTCCACGTACTTTTGAGGTCGGTTTTTTTAGTACTCAGTACTGATTCAATGAAAAAGTTAACTTTATTTTAAATGTATTTTTAGGATGTCTGAAACGTTTGGACGTTTATGTCCGCCTCGAAATGTATGTATGCATATAACTATCCATCCTACTTTATCTGTCACTACTCCCATGACAGGTATTGCTCCTTAACAGAAAGCAAGACCTCACATAGGAGGCTTCAGCACACTGAGTCAGCGGGTTGCTCAGTCTTAAATTTAGCTCTCCTACCTGACCAATGTCCTTTGATTGATATTGAGCCCGGCAGCCCGCATATCTATCACATTCCATTAAATGAAGCATGTGTTCCAACTTGTTACAGAATTACCATTAATAAGATTCTGCCCTTCTCATAAGATAGTAAAATTTATTTAATGGAATATGACCACAACGTAGTCTAGGAGCAATTAACAACAATGACTTTGATAGGCTACCCTCCTCAAATATCTTGGAGAACGCAATTGGATAGTTTTGTACCATATACGCTTATAGCATTGTTATTTGGGTTTCTAACCTATAACCTTATGATACATGATTATAAAAGAAAAATTCGAAATCGTGCAGGTCTGTACAAATAAAAGTCTTGTAACGGTCATCTGACCTACACTCAAACTACGAGATTATGAAAATTTAATAAAGACAGAACAGAACCAGAAGTCCAATGTGCCAGACATAGATTACATATAAATATAGCATCCCTTTACAACAAATGAAGACTTCCCGGTTATGTAGGGGAACTATTTATCACTTAACACGATGAAAATTGACGTGGCGCGTATGCAACAGATTTATGCGTTCGGTTACGTATTGCTTCCATCGTCGTATATTAAATTATATTCTACAAGTAACGACGATTATCAAACAAAAATTATATACAGTTTCTTTCAGTCTTATTGGTCCAATATCGAGGACATAGCAGGTAAACTTGTTGACAATAATATTATATTTTCCAAGACTTGTCATAAAGAACGCACTTGCATTTTGGTAATTTTATTTATTTATATGTATAATTTAGGCACGCCATCAGCACATACTTGCATAGATAAACTTACACTGCTTTGTCACATAAATTTTTATACAGCATGTTGTACATTTTACCATTGTACCATTACATACAGCAAATACACAAGATAACATCAAAAACTTTAATTTAAAAAGATAATAGAAAATAAAAATAATGTATAGAGATAATGTCAGTACAGAGTACTAAAAAACCGACCTCAAAAGTAAGTGGAATTACGTCTGTTTGCAAAGTTTTATTGAAATATCCCCTAGTTCGCCACTATACAGGACTTGACACTGGAGATAATAAAAATCGGTTCTCACTACTCAAAGTATATTGAGAGAAAAACGCCTTGAATTGGAGAAATAGCAAAATCAACCATTAAAGTAATTGCTCCTAAATTAAAGTTAGGCGCTATTGATAAAAATAAATCTTCATGCGTGAACAGCCACCCTTCGAGGTGGATGCTTTTCTTCAAAATGAAATGGGACCACTATGGAAGTACCCCCTTTCCAACAAAAAAAGAATCACGAAAATCGGTTCACAAATACCGGAGTTATCGCGTAACATACATACAAAAAAAAAGAACATACAGACGAATTGAGAACCTCCTCCTTTTTTGAAGTCAGTTAAAAAAAAGAAAACAAAAAGCGCTATCTAAGAGTGGTTACAGACGGCGATTTTTAGCAGTAGTGCAAACGCGCGTTCGTGAAAAGCGCGATTGCATCGTTACACTTGCAATTTATAGGCTTAAACTTGAGCGCGTATATAAAAGTAGACGATTAGCGACTGCATGCTGCTTAGGAAAATGTCAGTTAAGTACTGATTTTGCTTAACAATAAAACGAAAACTAAATAACACATAAAAAACCGCGTGTAAAGGGTTGTTCATTTTCCCAATTGCTCCATTTCGCTAAAAATGTCGATTACATTGTTTACGATAGGAATGGCAAGAAAGTTCGATTCAAATTCGGTTTTTAATTATTTCCTATCACATTTTCAGTCTTTATCGCAAATTTTCCTCAACGCAAAATATCTGGTTTTTTTTTTCGAATCTAAATCGCGTATTAGTTTTAAACAAACCAACGTTTTTCCTGTGTTTACTTACCATCTCAGTCAGCTGTAATGTAAA